CTTATGCCCCCCCCCCCCCCTTTTTGTTTCTGATCTCTTTAAGGTTTTATTGCACTAGATCAAATTGCTTTTGTGAGCAGAGCGGAGACATCTGAGCTGCGAGTCCAAAAAAGAATGCATGAAACTAAATATTGCTTTATTGCATCGCAGACTAGTGTCACAACAATTTCATAAAATGACCTTGGGATTGTTTTCAAAAGTATTTTGTGATAGTTACTAGGATGCATATTATGCTTCTTATGTTAGATTTTATCATATTTTAATAGTAACAATCTTTATTTGTCTGGCACCTTTCATGCAAGAAATTCAAAGTGAAATCTCAAAGTGATTTACAGTAAAAACAACAATAAGCACAGTAGTTACTTTTATCATTTATAATTTTTAAATTTATAATATAAAAATAAAATAACCAATTTTCTTTTTTATTTGTAATCGAAATTAAACAATATTTTTTTTATTTTTAAAGTAGTAAAAATAGTGTAAAGTTTAAAGTTGAAATAAAAAATAATTTAAAATGATATAATTTTATATAATTATATAAATTTTTTAATCTATAATTTATAATATAATTTTATATAATAATGCATATTTTTTAATCTATTATTTTAATAATGAATTTATGAATGCAAATAAACATGAATAAAAATGTAAATATCGTAATTAATATAATATTAAAGATAAAACCACTTTATAATGATTATAAAGTAAAAAAATTATTATATTTAAATAAAATGCATAACACAATATGGAAATTAAAACATAATAATAATAATAATAATAAATAAAAACCATTTGATATTAAAAAGCTACAAAGCTAAAAGTAACGATACATTTTTAGCTTTCTTTAAAAAATATTTACTGCATTTTAATATATTTAATTGATTAAACATAACATTAAAAGAAAAAAAATGCCTTTAATATGGTGCTAATATGACTACAGCCCATCTTATGCTGGGTTTGTTGGCATATAAATGTAAATTAAACTACATGGATTTCTTTTCAGAGAGAAGTCACACCTCTGGCAGGCTGTTAGGTGTTGCAGTGCCATATGCTCATTTTTAATTCCTGTCAACTAGTCAAATGATTGCAGGGAACAGAACGGGTTGATGAAATGCGAAACCTTATTTGAAAATATGGTCATTTTCGGATTAATGGCATATGTTCATCCAATTAAGGCAGAACACCAAAGAACATTTCCAAAGAGGGTTACCAAGGCAACCCCAGAAAGTGCACCAATTAGAAGGTGCAATGGCTCTCAAACACTAAACTGTCAAGAGATTGAAAGAGATGGAGACAACAGCTCTAAACAAACAGACGAATGAAAAATCCAGGCAATGTTCAACAGGCTCTTTTAGTGGAAGACTGCATTAGTCACTACTTGAGGTTGTTGCTGAGCACAGTGGAAACGGTTTTCTTGCATTTGTAGTGACATTTCCACAAAACTCATCAGATATGTCATGTACCCCTTCGTGTCTATGATGTACTGCTCGTGAATCCAGATTATTGATGTTCCTCCAGTATGTGCGAGTGAGAGTGTGTGTGAGTGGACATTGATCTGATTGGACACCAGTAGTGGCCGCCCGCATTGACCACATGCTGTTCTAATGGCCAGTGAGGCACATGTGTCTGCATGTGAAAAAACAACTGTGGAGTGGAATCTTCCTCTTTGAGCTGATTCTTGTTCTCATTGTGTTGCAAAGCTTACTGTGAGAACTTGAGCTCTGAACTGTTTGTTTCCTTTGCTTATGTGTTGCAATCCAATGCAGTCTTTACACAGCAAAAGCATAAGCTTCATCTGAAGCTGCATTAACAGACTGTTTAATGCTGCAGAAAGGCAACGTTTTTTAAGTTGTCGCAAAATTTAATTATATTATCTCCCAGCTGTTTATATAAGTATACAGACAGTATACTTGCGTAGGGTGATATATACTGTAGGCTACTATATAGTATATCTTAAATGCTTGATTGCTTGTATCTTCACAAATTATATAAACTATATTATCACCCAGCTCTAGGGATGTAACGATTCACTCAACTCACGATTCGATTCGATTCACGATTTTTCTAATCTGCTGTAAGGCATCATATTAAGATATTATAATAATATATTAACGTTAACATCATTATTTTCTGTAAAAATAGCTTTGAAACAATGTGTATTGTGAAAAGCGCTATACAAATAAAGTTGAACAAATTACATTTACATAGAAATTGCAGTTGCAAAAATAATGTTATAAAATTTGTAGTTTCGTATATCATAAATAGAAATAATATATATTTTTATGATTTCATATTAAATTATAAATATACAGTATATTCCGTAATGTATATTGAGATGCACAATATAATAGAACCATATTGGTTATCAGCTGATATTAGATATTTTGCCTTAATTTTTTGATATCTGTTGATATTGTATAGCCTACATGTTGGCCGACATTGAATATTTCATTGTGCATGCTAGTTTAAAGTTAATTCTTTAAAAACACTAATTTGGTAACACTATTAAATGTAATCTTTAGCTAATCTGAAAATGAATATCCATTTTTCATACTGTACATTATAAATGTATGATGCCTAAATTCACTTGTAGTGTTTAAAATGATTGATTTAAATTTTTGTGTTTTATTTAAATTGAATTAAAGCAAATATTACAGAATTTAATATCAGCCATGATAATTTAACATGATAAAATGACTACCAAAATGTAATATCAGTGATCCCTAATTTATACGGAACCGAAGCATCATCAGAGTTGCCTTT